GGCCGCGCCCGCCATGTCGGCCCGGGCGGTGCTGGACGAGTTCACGGCGCCCGCCGAGAAGGCGGCGCTGCTGGAGCGGAGCCGCGGCCGCATCGAGAGCCTGTTCGGCGTGAGCCTGGCCGTGCTCGGCGCGCTCGGGGCCGAGGAGCCGCTGCCCGCGCGCATCTGGCTGCAGCTCCGCGGGGCGCAGGAGGCGGTGCACAGCGCCAAGGTGAGTGTGGCCGCCGCCCCGCACGCTCGCCTGGGCCCGCGCCGCGGCCTCCGCTGGGACGGGGTCTCCGGCGGCCCCTCCCCGCCGTCCGCGCGGGGACAGAGCGAGCAGCCTTGGCCGGCGAGCCTGCGTGGTCGGCTCGCGAGCCATGTGACCTTGGGCTAGCGGTTCGGTCCCGGGAGCCTCAGTTTCCCCACTTGTAAAGTGGCGCTGACGGAAGGCCCTACCCGGGGGGCTGTGGCGAGGGTGGTCGCGGACTGCGTGTAGAAATCGCCGAGCGGTGTCTGGCGCCGAGCTCGCCCCGCAAGGGCAGCCTGCGTACCTGCTCCCCGGCCCCGGGAAGGTGCGCGAGGCCTGTGTCTGGGCCCATAACCCCCTTGTCCACTATCTCGGCCTTTTCTCTGCCCCTGTTTCAGGCCTTCGCTACGGGGATCCTGATCCTTGTGTTCGCAGTTCTCCCTGAGAATCGGAAAAAACGTAATGGTAGTAAAAGGCTCAGCAAATGTCAAAGAGAGGTGTTTACTAGTCAGGTTTAAAATAGTGTTATTTATTGTGTCCACGTCCTGTACAGTCAATATTTACATAATACTGCACAAAGGACGCTACGCTGAGTGTTTTAGAAGGAATACGCATGCCTTAAGGAATCGAGTAAGATAGATCCCCCCCCCCTTTAAATTACCAGCTGGGGAAACTGAAACTCAAGAGTGGTGACTCACCTGACTAAATCAGCGTTTCTGAGTTATCCCTCCTCAGCACCTCCACCTACTCCTGGCCCTTCCCGAGCCAGAAAACAGCAACAGAGTATGCCCCTCCTCCCTGGTCACCGGGTTTCTCCAGGTTTTCCCACCGCCTTCCAGTAGGTAGAGCAGTGGGATTCAGTGTACAGTGCGTGGCCAGAGGCTTGTTCCCGATCCTTGCTTCTCCCAGAGGGTGAGGGGAGTCTTGGACATCCCTCTCAAGTTTCAAAGGGCTCTTGAAGAAGCTGAGTAGTAGTTCTGTCTCTTGACGGTCTTAGATTGAACAACAACAAATCATGGATGCTTGCTTTTAATATCTTCAGAGGAGGTGGGGACCCTGGGTTGTAGATTCTACTGCACAACTTAACTTTAAACGCCGTAGATGTTGCGTGAAGTTTGCTTCCCTGTGCTGTATTTCTTTAATCGTTTGGATTTTAGGCTACCAGTCTAACTTCCCATTCCCCCTTTGCTTTTCCTCCCAGCTACTGGATATCTCCACTCACCAGGGCTGAAAAGTCTGATGTGACTGAGCCCTTCGTTTCTTCTGAAAGTCTCTTATTTACGTTCAGTCCTCTCCTTTCCATTGCCTTTGCTACAGTTAGATCTTTATTCTTGGTGTGTCCGTCCCTTGATTTCTTGCCTTTACCCCGTTGCTCCATCCCTCCCAGTGTTAGCGTAATGTACCTTGCTGTAAAGGAATCCTCCCACAAAGTCATTCTCCTGCCCTGGGGCCTACTAGGGCCTCTCCAGTCACCTGTCTTTCTCTGCCTAAACGCCTCCTCTGCCTTAGAAAATGCTTATAAATCCAACCCCACCTTATTTTTTCAATGTTCAGTTTCAGCAGCTCTCAGTTCAAACCTCCCCTGTAGTCCCACTGCCTCTGCCGTGTTCTGTTGCTCCCATTTCTCCTTTTACTCAGGACTCACCCCAAGCACAAAAAGTGCTTCCTTTGCTTTGCAAAAAAGTCCTGCCAGGCCCACTCAACTCTGGTTCTTTTGGCTGTCCCTGCTGCACAGCTCAGCCTGAGCTGATTGGGAAAGGTGTGTCTTACAGTATCTTAGTAGTATGTGTCCCTGCTTGTTTATCTTGGTGATGTGTATTGCTCATGATTCAATCCTCCTACTTGTAAGAAATCTTCTATTTTTCCCCCATGAAGACTCACGGGTTAGAGTCTAATGCGGGCTTTTTTGGTTCTTGTTAATCTGTTTTCGAGTTTGTTTTGCTTTTTGGGGAGAAAGCCACTAACTTGGTTTAAAAAACTGAAGAACAAGAAGGCAAACTTGATTCAGCGTCTGTATTTTCAGCATCAGCATTTTAAACTAATTGGTAGGGAGTCTCAGATCAAAATAGGATGAAGTCAGTTCTCTCACCAAGTGATTTACTTTGTTTTGTTGCTTTAAAATGTTATTTCACTGCCTTTTACAAATGCTAGAGTAGAGGAGAACGTGGAGGTTTACTTAGGCCTCCCTTTAGTGGAGAGAGGTGAGAGGAGCTGCTGGTAGAGAGTGATAATGTCCAGGGAGGGGGAAAAAAGGCCTCTCTCTGTAAGTGTGGCCACTTCTGTTAAAAGGCGAATTTCTCTTTTTTCTTTGAGACGGAGCCTCAAGCTATCCCCCTGGGTAGAGTGCTATGGCATCACGGCTCATAGCAACCTCCAGCTCCTAGGTTTAAGCGAGTCTCCTGCCTCAGCCTCCCAAGTAGCTGGGACTACAGGCGCCCACCACAACGCCTGGCCATTTTTTGGTTGCAGCCATCATTGTTGTTTGGGGGGCCCGGGCTGGGGATTCGAACCCGCCACCTTAGGTGTATGTGGCTGGCGCCTTAGCCGCTTGAGCCACAGGCGCCAAGCCAAAAGGCGAATTTCTTAGAGGATGCAGCACTGTAGCCCGGCTTTCCAGAAGATTCCCAGGTACCTGGCGTTCCAGATGCGTAGTTGTCAGCAAAGAGCTAGAATACAGAGTGTCTGGGTAGAAAGTGTCAAGGTTCCCAGAGAGATGAAGCCTGAGGATCCAGATGCCAGGCTGAGGCCATTAGGATACACGTCACACCTTCAGTAGGAAGTCAGAGAGGGTTTTTAGAGGGAACGGATTTGCCTGAAACTCTGTGTAGGATTATTTGGAGGCTGAAAGAGTCAACAGTGGAAGGAACATTGCTCCAAGTTAGAGTTGAGGATTACAGGGGCAAGGTTTTCACAGGGACTTGGCAGCTGAGTGGATGTAGAGATTTAGGAGTAAGTCTTAAGTCCAAGTGGCTGGAAAGTGTTTCATACCACTGTTGGGCTTGCTGGTTGGTGGGGCTACCGGATAGTGGACATTTAAGGAAAACTTCCCGTGTACCAAGAAGTACATTAACTGTTGCTCCTTGAGCTCAAGGCGCACACAGTGCAGTAGGGGAGACCAACATGGAGACAAGTGTCACAGCGGAAGTGTGTGCAAGGCCATACTGTAATAAGGAGAGGAAGGGTCGCTCTGCCCAGCTGTGTTTGAAAGGATGAGTGGGTGCTTGCCAGAGGACAGCGAGTTCCTGGCAGAGAGGTAAAAAAGCCTGTTCAAACTCACAGGGACATGAAACAATACAGTTTTATCACAGATTCTGTAAGTGTAGGGAGAGAAGGGAGGAAATTGCCAGAGGCCTAAAGGGGCCAGGTCACAAAATGCTTGGGGCCTCCTGCAGGCAGGCAGTGCAGAGTCATGGAAGAGGTACAAGAAAAGGAGAGATTTGCAGTTTCTAAAAACGTGCTGACGCCTCGCAGCTTGTGCTAATCAGTGGGTGCTGTTGCTAGTTTGCAGTGAGAGTGTGAGTGTTCCAACAACTGCTGTGGCCATTGGACATTACTCCTGGGGCTAAAGAGGCAGTGCCTCAGAGTGAGAGGAAAACCGGAGAGGGCATTGTCCACAGGGGCCCAGAGAGGGGCAGGGTGAACAGCACCCTAGAAGCAAAGGAGTTTGAGTATTGAACTTGAGAGTGGAAGTGAAGGTACTGATGAGCTACTAGCTCCTGTCTCATTCACAAGGAGAAAACTCAAGGTGCAAAGCAGGATGGTGGTGTCCTTCCGCTTAGGCAGGGGTGGAAAGGGACAAAGTTCAGATTCAGGCCTGGGCAGTGAGATGAGTTAGAACGCTTCTTTTAGATCAGTGGTTCTCAACCTGTGGGTTGCAACCCACAGGAAGTGTATCAAAGGGTCGTGGCATTAAGAAGGTTGAGAACCACTGTTTTACATCAAAGGACCACACACTGACTCCTTGGAACGCAGTGGGAGCCTGTGGGAAGTGGCTGGGTGAGAGGAGGAGGAACTGTGGTAAAGGAAGGCGTTTTGCCCTGCCAGAGCCAGCAGGTGGCCTGTGCATAAGGTATTAGCCACTTAAACAGTGGTGGGCTCAATAATTTCTAATCTCGTTATCCAAAAAAGCCAGGAGTCTGGATTTCATTATGTGAATCTGTTGTGTTTTGTTTTTCTAACTGGCAACTAATTTATGTTTTAAAAACTATACACACTGTGAATTATATTACTAAGCATTTTGTATTCTTCTTAAAGTGTATATTCTAAAAAACAAGACACTGTTCTATGCGTACTGGTCAGAACCTGGCAGTGCACCAAATTCAGCTGTTGGACTGCCTTCTTAGGATCACTACTTTAAATAGTAGGAAACAGGTATTGTGAGAAACGCATTTGTTTTCACTTGAAGAAGAGGACAGTTGAAGGCCCTAATGGCCTGCATACAGGACAGGCTCAGTAAGGTAGAGGGAGGAGGAACGCTTAAAGACGGCGGCGTGTGTGGGGTGCAGTAGTGTTGGGGAAAAGACCCAGAAGGACTGTGGGGGTGAAGTAAGGGTCAGGGAGGTTAGGCTGCCTGAACTTAGAGTGTAACTTGACCCAGAAACTCACCCTGGGCAACACCCCCAGGGGTTAGTGTTGCCAGACCCGGGGACTAGAGGTAGTGGGGGCTAAAGTCAAATTGAGCAAGGCAAATGGGGCCCAGGAAACATTAGTGAATGGGCCGGCCTTGTGCTGGGACAAAGAAGCAGGTGAAAGGAGAGATGCAGCGGGCGGACAAAGGAAGGGCCAGACCTTAGACTCTACCTCATCCTAGGCTTGGGGTCGTGCACGCAAGAATATATAAGTATTGGTGAATTCTGGAGTCTTGGATATGAAGGAATTCTGAGGGCTAGGGGGTGCTTCAGTGGGCAAAGTGGAAGTATTCCTTCATCTTAGGAAGGTGAGAAGAGATGGGAGGAGATGGAACTGTGAAATATCAGGAGGTG